CATAACTTTTTTGTCTTTTTCCTTAATCTCAATCATCCAATCATACATAACATGTAAACCAGTAATTGACACCAAACAAGACAATACAGTATTGGCTTCACCATAATACAAACCATAATAAAAAAAACCATGATTCATGCATACGAGACTATAATATAATTACATCAAACATCATGCTGCATTTAATACTGAAAATTAGATCAAACAATAACAGACCAATACTGTATCAGACTCGGGCTCCATTGGCAACCTTAATCAATTATACATCTATAAAGTCACACAGTACAGTTTAATTATTTATTTAGCTTTAATACCGTGATAGGAAATAGGGTGAGGGATCGTTACTTGTTTCGGGGTCTGAATACGGCTCTACAGTGCGCCTACAGGCTGTCCCTAATTTTTTCTGAATTTTTTTCGGGAAATTGAAAACCACTACTGGTACCTGCACGTGTCCCAAAAATTCCAAATTAGACCTAAGGCCCCTTTCGGCCAATATCGCAATTCCGGCACGGTGGCTCCGCCGTGCTCCGGCGATGGCAAGCGGCGGCGATTCGCCTCGGGTTGGCCATTTTCGGCAGAATTCGGCCACGCTTGCATCGGTCCTTGCGATAGAACAACTCTAGGGCCCTCGGTGGGCCAAAAAATCACGAAAAATCGAAACTTACCGGCGGTGGTGCTCTCAGGTGCGGCGGCTCCTCCGACGTGAGTCGCGTTTTGATGTTTGGCTCCGATCAACCTGTAGATAAAAGAACGGTGATCACAATGGTATAAAATTTGCATCAAACGGAGGCCGGGAAGGGCCTCATTGGAGGCAAAAATCGAGGAGGGGTGCGGCGGCGCCGCTGGGTTTCGGCTGGGTTTTCCGGCCGTTTGGCCGGTGGTTTGGCTCCGGTTTGGCCATAGGCGGACTCAGCATCGAAAAACGAGCAAGGAGGAGAAAATTTACCTCGACCGGTGGTCGAAAACTTCTCCGGTGCAGCGGCGGGTGGCGGCGACCGGCTCCTCCGGCGAGCACTGGCGGTTAGGGTTTCTTTGGTCAGGTGTGGGTGGGGGTATTTATACCCTTTGCCTTTTAATCTCAACCGTCCATCAAGATTAAATCTGGACCGTTCGATCGCGATTTAATTGTGATTAAATCTGGACCGTCCATCGCGATGCAATCTGGGCCGTCCGTGCCTGATTGAATCTGGACCGTTCGTGCGCGTGAATCTGGGCCGTCCGATCGCCCACGTGGCCCGTCCCCTGGTCAGCTTTTCCTTGCCACGCGGCGCGTCATGGTTGGCCGGGGCTGCTGACCGGGCCGCTGACGTGGCTGCTGATGTGGTGCTGACGTGGCACAACTTTTCTAAATTGTGCTTTGACCCCTGGTTTCCGATTTTCTTTTCAAAAACAACTCCAGAATTCAAATTTTCACCCCTTTTTCCCAAAATCAATTTCAATTAAATCTAAATAATATTTTTACCCAATTTTATCATTATTATTATATTTATTTTTATTAAATTAAATAAAAAATTAAATAAAATTCTAATAATTACAAAATAAAATAAATAAAATAATTTGAAAATAATAATAATAATAATAATACACTTGGGGTGTTACACATGCATTATTAGACCATCACTCACGTGTAATTTAGTAAACAAATTAATTCATATTAATTGCTATAGTATTTAATATTAATCATAAATCCCATGTGATTATGTGAACCAACTTTCTATGTCATCTAAAAAAATACACTAAATTCTAAAATTATTTTTTATTATTTATTTTAAAAATACTTTACTCATTCAAAATTCAAATATAACTGCTTTTTCGTTTGAAAAAAAAAAATTCAAAATACCAATGACTTGACTTTGGTCAAACAAAACTACCTTTTGATTTGTGCTGTTTTGACTCTCCTAATAAGGTTCTAAGGAAGTTTCAAGGCAAAAAAATAAATATTATTTTATTTTTTAAAATAATAATTTAATTATAACGGTTATAATTAAAATAATTATTTATTACTTATTGTTATTAATGTTCTATTTGGATGATTTAGTAAAACATATTTTCTTAAAAATTATTTTTAAAATATGTAATTATAAATATTATTTAATATTTTTTATTATAAAATAAATAAAATTAAATATTTAAAACAAATAATAAATATTAATGACTAAATTATAATAAAAATATTAAGAATCAAATTGTAACTCGTATTATATTTTGTTGGTTAGTTTAATAATTTAACTCGAAACTATTTCATATGTACAAAATTTTACATTACATATCGAAATAATTAGTAATATATTTATACGCATAATTAAATAATTTAATTAATTTGTAGCAGCCCCGGTAATTCAAAATGAAAATTATATTATAAATATTAAATGCGGAAGTGAGATCAAAAATTTCAGTTAACATCCTTTACACGAAAACCAAAAATGTACTTAAAATATAAAAGATTAAACTAATTAAGAGAGAAACTCGAAAATAAAACTATGAGTATGACTACAGAATCTCTAAGCATCCCCTTCGTCGTCCTCCTGCGGAACGGGCTCGGGAACCATGTCTTCCTGATCTGAAATAGTTAAATAAGGAGTGAGCTACACTAGCCCAGTAAGAACATCACGATATTTCACCGTCATTGAGATAAAGGTGGGTAGAAAAACACAAAAGACCAATGGAGCATGATTTATAACAAATCCTTTTTTTTTTATTTATGATAAAACCTTTACCATCCACTTACCTCGGTGGAATTCATAAAACAATATAAGAAAACAATAACATTATCACAATCATAGAATAATATAAGTTGTAAAACATAGCACTTATCACGCATTTTGTAATTCAATCATTATACAACATATCATTTTCTCATTTACCAGCCTACTAGTATCCATGGGGGTCCATAGGGGTCCCGCTACCCATTAACCTTTAACATTCATAATCAGTTTCCAGGGCCGTCCCCATACCCCGTCCGGTATGGGCGCCAAAACCATAAACCTCAATACCCCGTCCGGTATGAGGGTGAAACGGGCCGTCCCCATACCCCGTCCGGTATGGGCGCCAAAACCATAAACCTCAATGCCCCGTCGCCGGAGCACGGCTAGCGGCAGGCGGCTAGGGTTTGTGGTCTGGTGTGGGGGTTCTATTTATAACCCATTGCCCTTTGATCTCAGCCGTTCATTTTGTTTTAATCTAGGCCGTCCGTTTTTGATTAAATCTGGGCCGTCCGATCGCGCGATTGATCTGGACCGTCCGATCGCGCCCACGTGGATCGCCAACGTGGCCCGTTCAGGAGCGACGTGGTCTTGCCACGTGGCAGGCCCCGGTTGGCCGGGACTGCTGACCGGGCCTGCTGACGTGGCTGCCGACGTAGTTTTTTTTTTTTTCCCTCCTCGGTCCGGGCGCTACATAATTAATGTGTTGATGATATTGTACTGAATTATTTTAAATATTTAAGTTGTATTCTTTGATTGAATTTGTTTTTTGTTTTTTTAATTATTATGATGCCAAATAAAATTTGAAACATATGGTAAATATATTTATATTAGTAATTTTGTGTATACGTTAAATTATAAGTTGTGGTGTAATAATTTTTCTATCCCAAATAGGGAACTATATACCCAACTATTTAAATATAATTATTATGCAAGTTGAGTATTTTATAATGAAAATATAATGAGTGATGGGAAGTAATGTAATTTTATAATTACTTATAAATATGTGATTGTGAAATTAATAAAAATTATTATAGTTAAAAGTTAAAAATACAAAATTTTATATAAAACAAATAATATCATCAACTTATATATATATTTTTTGTAATTAAATAAGCTTCAACGGTCAAGATCGAACCAATCCGGTCAATGATGTGACGGTTTGACTTTCCAGGCAAAATATCGGAAGCTAAGGAGTGTGATTCACGAGCATTAGTTGGTTCTCGAAGCACCTGATTATTCCCTTTTTTAAAATAAAATAAATTTTGTATTCTAGTACTTACAGATCACATTTGCAAAGTGGTCCATCTTAAACTATGATTTGCAGATTTCTCCCCCACGACGATTACCGTCAAATTTTATTTTGCATTTTGCTCCCCGTATATTACCGTATTTCTACTCGACTCCCTAAGCTTTCTGGATTTTATGGTGCACCCATGCATGAGTATTCATTGTCTACATGTCATCCCTGTTGAAATTAAGTCTGACACGAAATAATTAAAAAATTATAATTATTTTAATTAATAAATAAAATATTATTCCCCATTTACTTCCACAGAATAAACTAATAAATCGGATCTCTTCATTAGTTGAAAACACCAGCTAATTTCTATTTTAATTAATTAATCTCGTAATAAATAAATATTAATTCATGAGTAAATATTAAAAATATTGCGGGGGAAAAATATAAATATGCAAAATAAGTGGGGGCCAAAGTGTGAAAACGGATTTAAAATTTTCCCTTGTAGACTACGGCGGCTAATGCTGAGAAGCCAAAGTTGACAAGATGAGTTGGTGAAAGAAGAAGAAGAAGAAGCTTAAGCAGAACAGTTATGCATACACCTACCATAAATATCTTATAAATAATTTCCTCTTTGCTCGAGATACTGACGGACTATATCCTTCTATTAGGTTGAATCCGACCTGAATTATTTTTCGAAATCGCAGTTCAATCTCTAAGGTTTATTCTCGTTTCTTTCCATCTTGGTTTTTTTTTTGTTTTTTTTAAATGATGAATTAGTAATCGTGTGTTCGACTTTGCGGAATTGGTTTTGTTTGGATCTGTCGGTTTGTTTTGGTTCCTGAGAATTTGGATCCATGCAGCGAGCTTCTCGTTTGTTTGGTTTTCTAATTTTGATTTTGAAATTTCCTTGTTTGTTTAAATTCGTGATTCTGTAGCTGGAACGGGTTCAAGGATCTTTTTTTTCTTTCCAAATTCAATAGCGTGTTTGTTTCCCTGAAATCGAAGAAATGGGGAGGGAATTTAGATTCATGATCTTGTTTATTATGCTAGTCGAGGAATTTTTGTTAGCTACCGTGGGGCTGGATCATGTAAAAGTGTTTCTCTGATCATCGTTTACTGGTAGATTGAATCATTTATATAGTTGTGTTAAAATTCTGGATCAAGTGATGGATGTTGCAGAACAGGAGTTGGAGAAACTTCTTTTCATGGCAAAGAGTAACTACTTAACTGCCTTTTTCCAGTTCTTGGCCTTCTGGAAAATGGGCAAAAATCAGTGATAGACAATTACTTGGATACGAGTTCAATATCTGTTTTTTTTTTTAATTCGTGTTTTTCTCCTATCAGGTTTCCGAAGGATAATTCTGTTTGTATTTTGGGTTTGAAGATGGGAACAAGTCAAAGCCAGTGGTCTGTTGAGAAGAGGTCTAGTTTTAGGAATGATTCATTCTCAAGGGAGGATGAGAATGTTCCTGAAACTGGGTGTCTCTCAATCATCGTGCTTGGTGCTTCTGGTGATCTTGCCAAGAAGAAAACTTTCCCTGCACTTTTCCATCTCTATCGACAGGTAAGTGAGATATTTTTGTTGTTTTTGATAATGTTTTAACCACGAGTTTCCTTCCTTGTAGACTTTTCAGCAAGTGAAAGAAAGAGAAGGAAAATATTTATTTGTCTATGGCACAAATTAACCTCTAGTGCCCTCATTATCCGTTATGGTTATGTATGATGTCCTTTGTATTGATTTTCATTTAGGGGTTTCTACCATCAAATGAAGTTCACATCTTTGGGTATGCAAGAAGTAAGATTTCAGATGATGACCTGAGGAAGCGCCTTCGTGGGTGAGATGATCATGTCTTTTTTCTTAACCTTTTCTTTCAAGAAGGCTGAGCAGTATCATTAGAACAAAATGTTTTATTTCCTATTGGTTTGTCATTGTGTATATTAAGTGATATGGACGGCAACATATTTGCATTTCAATTTCTGAGGTGGAAGTTGAAAGAAGA